GGCCGCGACACCGCGGGATGGCGCAGACGGCCATGTCCGAGACCTACGGTAGGCGGCTGGGCGCGGGATCCGGAGCGGGGCCGCGGGAGTCCCGGGAGGTCGGCGCCGGGGCGGGGACCGGGGTCGCGGGTGCTGGCCAGGCCTGGATTTCTGGGGGCCCGGGAACGAGCTGGGCTCTGGCGGTCTGGGTGTCCGTAGTTGGGCCGGAATCTGGGGGGTCTGAGCTGGGCCTGGATCTCGGGGTGTCCGGGATACGGCGCGGATCTCGGGATGACTGGGGCAGGGCCGGGATCTCGAGGTAAGGCGGGGGACAGGGCCGGGATCTCGGGATATGGGGGGCAGGGCCTGGATCTCGGGGTGCCTGGAGCAGGGCCGGGATCTCGGGGTCCCGCCCGGCACGGGGCCAGACTGGGCCAGCGCTGTTTCAGGTTTTCTCCTGCGTTTGCCAGGTGTTCCATCCTTGTTTTCTCCGCGTCCTACTTAAAATCTCAGGGTCTGGGAGCTAGTGTGGGGACAGGGTACCCCCTGGCACCTCTGTGGCCTGGGAGGAAGGCGTGGGCCATGCCTGCACGCCGGAGTGCTCTGCAGACACCCCTCTTTGCCTTTCCTGGCCCGGAATCTCTCTTTGCACTGGGATTACAATGAGTCGCAGACCGAGGAGGCCTCTCCCTTCCCAGGCCTCTGGCTTCACGTTTCTCCCTCTCTCCCATGGCTCTTACTCCTCCTCTCTAGCTTTTTAGCCTGATCTAGGTTGCATTATGGCTATTTATAAGCATACCTCCTTTTCGTGACCATAAAACTTGGAAGCTAAAGCCTGTTTTATCTTTGTTCTCCCAGCCTCGTGTGTGTGTGTGTGTGTGTGTGTGTGTGTGTGTGTGTGTGTGCATTTTATACATGAAGCTTCCCAGTACACGTACACATGTAGGATTGCTTTTTCTTATCCCCTGCATGGTAAGAATGACTCCTATCAGAGTTGAGACCCATCTGCTAGCCGGTTTTTAGGTGCATGTATCCTCAGGTTGGGACTTTGATCTGCAGGAAGGCTGCTTTGTGTTGGACCTCAGAACTGGGTGTGGTGCATCACTCTTATAATCCAAACTACTTGGGAGTCAAAGGTCCAGTGGATTGTGGTTCAGAGTCAAACCTGACAAAAAAATTAGTAGGACTCCCATCTCAATAAGACAGGTATGATGGCTCACAACTGTCACCCCAGTTACTTTGAGGCCTTCTGTAGGAAGATGGAGGTCTGATACCAGCCCCTGGCAAAAAACAGGGAGTGCTACTTGGAAAGGAAAAAGGGTGTAGGACATGGCTCAAGTGCAGAATACCTGTGTAGCCAGCACAAAGCCCACAACCACATACATACATACACACACACACACACACACACACACAAGCAGATCAGTCCCCCCTCTCCTTCCAGTCCTGTGTGCGGTTGGTGCTCTGCCAGGAGTGCTCCAAGCACTGTGGCTCTGGGAAGCCCACAGTCTGGAGAGGAGTGGAGTGTTAATCGAGTTGTGACACTAATGGTTGAATAATGAAAAACAAGGTGGGGGCTCGAGGGGGTTCTGAAGGAATGTGGTCTGCCCCAGACTGGTCAGAGAGGGTAGGGTCGGCAGGCAGAACTGCAGTGGCTTCCTGTGGGGTGTGGGTGGGCCCCACAGCCAAGAAGGGGGGAGCAGCGGGGGCCTTGGAAGCTTGGAATTTGAGAGGTAGGGTCCCCAGGAAGGGTGGGTGCTGAGCACACACTCCAGGTTCACCCCACCCTCCCACTCCCTCTGGTGACATGGGGCGTGACACCATGTCCACTCATGCAGAAGAGCTGGTGACTGTCGGAACCATGGTGTCCACCCTGCCAGTGACCTTCAAGTGGTCAGACACTTCTACAGAGAACCACAGTCATAAACGTCACTAGCAAAGTATGTCCTTGAGCCATTTTTATTTTATTTCACGTTTGCACTCCTTTCCTTTCACCTGCTTAAAGAACACTAAGGGTAGAAAGTCCAAGCAAGAGATCAGGTCAGGTCAGAGTTTAGCACCTAAACTTTCTTGCAGGAAATGTAATGCTGTAGGAGGCCTCAGACAAGTATCACAGACCAACTAACTACCGATCATGAGGCTCTGGACATCACGTTCTTAGTTTATGGTGCCTTCTACATGTGCTTTACCTTTACTAATTCTGAATCTCATCTTTTCTTTCTTTTGTTTTTGTTTTTGGGTCCAGTCATGGGGCCTGAACTCTGGGCCTGGGCGCTGTCCCTCAGCTCTTCAGCTCAGCTCAAGGCTAGCGCTCTACCACTTGAGCCACAGCACCACTTCTGGCTTTTTTCTTTTTGTTTATGTGGTGCTGAGGAATCGAACCCAGGGCCAGGTAGGCTAGCGCTCTACCCCTGAGCCACCTTCTCAGCCCCTCATCTTTTCTTTCAATGGAGAAAATTGAAGAGAACTTAAAAAAAAAAAAACCACAAACTAGTAAAAAAAAAAAAAACACAAATAAAAAAAAACCCCAACTAAGTAGACTTTCTACTTACTTTCCAGCCTTGGAAAGAATAAGTGAGCCAGGCACAGGTGGCTCATGCCTGTAATCCTAGCTACTCAAGCGGTGGAGATCTGAGGATTGCAGCTTGAAGTGTATAAATATGTTCTCCAAGAACCATCGGAGTAACAATAATAGACACAAAAATAAAGAATTGTCTCAGCAAGGCAAGATTTGCTTCTGCAGAAGAATGCACCACCAGCCAAAAACCTGGCCAGCAAGCACACAGAGCAGACAAGCTGTTCCATATTTATCTCTAACACAGCAAGCCCCACTCCTCTGCTCAGATTGGTTGAGCTCAGGTTCACAGTCTGCTTGTGATTGTCTAGTCTAAATAGCATAAAATGTATTGACATAAATAAGATAACAGTGCACAAGTAATCTCAAAATGTATTTGCACCCTCTGCTATTTCTTGAATAGTCTGAAGTGTGTCTTAATTTCATCTTGAAAAGAAACCAGTTTTAAGACAAAACCTTACATTTCAAAAATCCTTCCTTATCCCAAAGCAGTTCCTCTTTTCCTTAATAAGAGCGTGGTCACTATCCAAAGCAGGAACTTTTAGGCAGCACCCTTTGATAGAAAACACATTTTTTCTCACAGAAGGCCGGAAAGTCTTCGAGACTCATCTCCAAAAGCACCAAAAGCCAGAAGTAGATCTATGGTTCAAAATGATAGAGTACACAAACGCTCAGGGACAGCACCCAGGTCATGAGTTCAAGCCCCAGGACTGGCATGGGGGGAAAAAAAGTGTATGACTATTGAAGCTGCCAGCCTACCAAAACGATGGCCATGGCTGTCACCTTCACTTGTCATTGGCCACATTTGCCCAGCATTGGTCCCCAAAACAAAACAATCTGGTTCACTCCTTCCAGACATTTGCCTCATGCTTGGCTAAGGAATGTTTGCCTAACCTTTAAGTTCCTTTGTACTCTGGTGTTGGCTCAGTCTTTCCTGTGACAGCACTTCCAGGCTCAGTCTTTCGACTCTTTCTACTTAGATGATCTGGACTAGAATTTCAGGGGTGAATATTTAGGTGGGATAAGGATGGATGCTATTCATAAGGTGCTAATAAATTATGAATGTGAGAACTATTTTAGAGAGAGGTTTATCATCATTTCATATATAAATTTTTAATCGCACAGAAGAGCAATTTGAGACTTAAGAGCCAAGCATGTCCTGTCCCATAACTGGGAATAGTGTATCTAGAATGCATGTTTAGTGATGCTGTGGTTTTCTCATTTACCTGCCCAGACCAGGGATGATGGGTGTGACCACCACATAAATGCATATCTGTGCATAGCCTGTGGTGCCTTTTATAGATGTCTCATCATTCAAGACCAGAGGAGAAGGCTCTTTGGGGAGCTGGGAGCAGCTTATCTTAGTAACCTTCTGTTCAGTGCTCTAAGCAGTCCTGAACACGGCCTCAGGAATGCTGAACCAGACTTTGATTTGATTCTGTTCAAGAAGTGGTAGATCCTCTTAGGTACACAGTATGAAACAAAAGGCTAGAATAGGAACTGAGAATCTTGTATGTTCTTTAGAAATCAGAGTATATTAGTATAAATGCAAGTCTAATTGAAATTCCTCTATTGATTGCCCTGTCCATACTAAAGAGGTCATACAGGCGATCTCTGAGCTTGAAAGTAAGGAAAAATCTGGGGGCTAGGAATGTGGCTTAGTAGAGTGCTTGCCTAGCATGCATGAAGCCCTGGGTTCAGTGCCCAGGCCCTGAGTTCAAGCCCCAGGACTCCCAAAAAAAGAAAAAGAAAGGAAGGAAGGAAGGAAGGAAGAGAAGGAAAGAAAGAAGGAAGGAAGGAAGGAAAACTCTGGAACCAACTCACCCAGGCCTCAGGCCTCAGTGGAGTGGGGTGGAGCACCTAGTACTGTGCTGTAGACTTGGCTTCAAAGGCCATGTGAGGACCCATACTAGCCCGCAGCCACAGCTCTGCTGTGAGCAGAGGACACAAACAGCTCATCTTTCTCAATGAGGGCGTTTTGCACAACGAGGCACATCTCAGCCGGACTTGGATGCTGCTGGAGATGAAGGACATTCACCTAGGGCATTGCTTGTGTTTGTAGGCACCTTCCTGCATCCTCTGCCCTGCCACCATAAGCCCCTGGCAACCACGGACGGCTTGCATTTCCTGTAACTTTGTCATTTCAAGAATGCTACATTAGGGCTGAGAAGGTGGCTCAGTGGTAGAGCGCTTGCCTTTCATGCCTGAGGCCCTGGGTTTGATTCCTCAGCACCACATAAAGAAAAAAGCTGGAAGTAGCACTGTGGTAGAGCATTAGCTTTGAGCTGAAGAGCTGAGGGATAGCGCCCAGGCCCAGAGTTCAGGTCCCACGACCGGACCCCCCAAAAAATAGAATGCTACATTAAGGGAAATGTGAAGTTGTGGTCTGAGGAAGCTGGCTTTCTCACTCAGTATGCTTCCTATGAATTTAATTGCCTGCAAACATTTGGAAATAATGAGAGACTGGATGACTTGATGTCTGTGCCGCAGTGGTCATTCTGAGCACTGATGATGAGGCTGGACCCGGGGCCAGTCGCTCTCGTGTCTTACCTGCAGGGAGGGAGGCCAGGGTCTGAGAAGCCTACTCTGTTCCAGGAAACTATCTGGAGATTATACCTCACAGTCAAATGAGGGACTGCTGAGCAGGGCCTCACAGCCTCAGGAGCAGGGCAGCGTGGGCAGGGGTGGCAGATCAAGAGATGAACACAGCAGTTAGTCCAAGGGAGGGAGAGCTGGGTGTGCTGTTCCAGAATGAGCAGAACAAACATTGTAGGTGAAGACAAAGCGAAGCAAATTGCTGAGAACAGTGTGGGTCCCCAGTGCTGCTTTGTAGTGGAAATAAGACCCTGAATTAGCTGTGTGATTGTGGGTGAAGAATTGAGTCAGACGTATTGCATGGAGCTGAACTTGGCCTGGGCTGCTGTTCCTACAGTGACCAATAAGGGAAAAGACCTTGACCCTGCAGGCCTGCAGCGCGGGCACTCACTCGTACCTGCATGCCTGCAGCGGGGAAACTCATACCTGCAGGACTACGGCACGGGAACTCACTCCTACCTGCAGATCTGCCATGCAGGAACTTGCATCCATTTCAGAGAAGAAGAGGGCTTCTTTCCTGTGGAAAATAACAGAATTTTCTATGCAGATTTTGCTTGCTGCTTTGTTTGAATAGTGGCTATTAGGCACAGTTTTATCCATGAGAAGTATTCAGCTTTCAAACTTCAAAGAAGTTGTTCAACAGCACAGCTTGGGAAAAAAAATCTCTGAATCAGGAATATAAATGAGATGTGAGGAGGTAAAGTCAATTGTATTGTTTTTATTCTTCTCTTATACTAACATAAGATTTCATTAAATTCAAGACTGGCTCCAGTGGGTAATGCATATAGTCCTGGCTAATCCAGAGGATCTTGGTTTGAAGCCAGCCCTTGCAGAAAAGTCTAAACAACTTGCAAAAAGCTGGGCTGAGAGCCTGGCTCAAGTCCCGGCCCTGAGGTTAATCCTTGATTTAAAAAAAAAAAAAGAATACATTTGTAGCACCCATTTTAAAGTTACATCTCACAATCTCTCTTTGTCTTTCAGATTTCTTGTTTAAGTTCTTGGTTATCGGAAATGCAGGAACTGGCAAATCTTGCTTACTTCACCAATTTATTGAAAAAAAGTGTAAGTAATACCAAACAGCTACTCATCCTTTCGTTGAGCGGGAATGTGCTGTGGCTCAGATTTGCTTACCGGAAAACATCTGGATTTACTTTTTAGGTTAAAAGTACTCTTTAAAAGGGTTGTTCTTAACGTTAGTAGCATGATTAAGTTCTTATTAAATTAGTATTTCTTTAATCATATCTCAGTATATACTAGATTTCTTGAGGTGCAAAGCCAGCCTGGGCAGAAAAGTCTGTGAGACTCTTAACTCCTGATTAACCACCAAAAAAACCAGAAGTAGAACTGTAGCTCAAATGGTAGAGCACTAAATGTAAGCAAAAAAGCTCAGGGACTGTGATCAGGCCTTGAGTTCAAGCCTCAAGGCCAGTACAAAAAAAAAAAAAACTACTTGTGTTTTCCTTGAAAGTGAATAATTTTGCCAGCATCTGACAAAAATGAGAAATGAATGGGTAAAGAAAGTTGACAGTGCCCTTGATTTTGTAATGTAACTTGTTGAACATGAGCCTGTTACCCTAATGTTGCAAAATTATATTCTTTGTTGTTTTCTTTTTTAGTCAAAGATGATTCAAATCATACAATAGGAGTGGAATTTGGTTCAAAGATAATAAATGTTGGTGGTAAATATGTAAAGTTACAAATATGGGACACAGCAGGACAAGAACGATTCAGGTAGACTCTTCTCTTAAGTTGATAAAGATATTGGAAATCAATGTATTCTATCACTATGTAAAATGTTAAAGCCTTCCCCTGGACTAAGTTCAGACACCAGCCTGGTGAGCTGAGTGTGTACAGACACGTCAGGAGTACTGGGCACACACTGCTTTTAGGCTGAAGCCAGAACAAAGAACTGGTGCAAGTGTTTTTGTTTTCTACACTTTCTTTCTTTGTTTATTTCCATTTCCTGGAGTTCATTAAGATAATTACTATTTTCTATGATCAGAGGCACAGAGGTCTTGCACCTTTGTGTGCCTCCCCTAAGAATGCCGCCTTTGGTCTCATTGTATGTGAATGCCTAGAATCCTGTATCTTTTTTCTTTTTCTTTTTTTTTTGTCAGTCCTGGGGCTTGAACTCTGGACTTGGGCGCTGTCCCTGTGCTCTTCAGCTCAAGGCAAGCGCTCTACCGCTTGAGCCACAGCGCCACTTCCGGTTTTCAGGTGGTTTATTGGAGATAAGAATCTCACGGACTTTCTTGCCTGGGCTGGCTTTGAACCTCAGATCTCAGCCTCCTGAGTAGCTAGAATTACAGGTGTGAGCCACCGGCGGCACCCGGCTGAGTCCTGTATCTTTATATTTAATTTGTGTGTGTGTGCACGCATGCGCACACGCATGCACACATACGCCAATACTGAGACTTGGACTCAGAGCCTTTTACTCTGGGTTGGCTTTTCCTGTGCAAGGCTGGCACTCTACCACTTGAGCCATGCCTCCACTTCCTATACTTTCTTTCTGAAAATGAATTTTTAAGGTGCTCTTCTGGGGATGTGTTCAGCTAACTGGACCACATTCTGTGACCAATATGGATCCCAAGGACCTTCTCTCCCCTGTGCTTTTGTGACAGTGCAGGCAGAGCAAGGAGGGAAGATGAGCATGCAGGGCAATGTGACTGGGGCGCCGTCTAGAGGCCAGGCAGCTCCTCTCTGGGTACCCCCCTTTGCCCTGAGCACAGGGCACAGGAAAGTAGAGGCTTACAGAGAAGCCAGGAACTTACCCAGTGCCCTCCTAGCACGCGGGACAGCCTCTGGTCACCACACACATCTCTGTCCACTCCAAGATGCCCTCACTTGAGAGGAAGCGTCCTGCTTGCTGCTGCCTAGCATGGCCTTCTCCCCATCCTCACTGTGATACAACTTCTCCAGAAAACACATTGATATCTTGAGCCGATATCTTGAGTCAATTCTCGGTGCCCGTCCCTATGTTGTGGTTCACGAAGAAAATGAGTTTTTATGGGTATGAAACACTGGAGGATCTTGACTGATTAAAAACAAAACCCATGCCATTCTTCCTCCAGGTCTGTGACAAGAAGCTACTACAGAGGAGCAGCCGGGGCACTCCTGGTCTACGACATCACCAGGTAAGCCAGCACGGTTGCTGAGGCCACTGGGGGTCTGTGTCCCGCCATCTTGGTGAGAATCCCTGTGTATGTGTATTGTGTGGCTAGCGCCCTTTTGGTGATGTCTTGGAGGTTTTTAGTTAGTCCTAACCACCATTCTGTAAGGGAGAGACGTGCTTTGAAGCTGTGGGTAGACAGAGCACTCCTGCTTTCTTATACTTTATTCCATGCTGGGCAGTTACCTTGAGGTCCACAGAGCTCTGTTATAGGAGCAGACCCAGGGACTGAGGACACAGACGCTGGGCTTGTGTGGCTGGCTTCAGAGTCCCGCTCTGGTCACTGATTCTGGGACCCCTGATGGCTGGGCCTCAGCTGGATGGACTCAGTTTCCTCATCTGTAAGATCATCTGTAATAATCATGTTATTACCATAGCTAGCGGTACACCATATTAGAACCATTATAACTGATGACCCTGGAGGCACCACAAGTCTCAGATGGTAGCTAGAAAGTATACATGTCGGTGCCTGTCAGCAACATGTGACAACTTGATGGAACTAATGAGTAAGATTAAATGTCAAGCCTCGGCTGCTCTGGCCACATTTCCAACACTCCATGCTCCATGTGGCTGGTGACAATGGGACCAGCTTTCACACAAAGTGGGGTTCCTTCCCACAAGGAAATCCCACCCACAGTGCTGACCCGGATTTGTGACACTGTCCTGGAAATGTCTGGTCCTTCCTGGAGAGAGCTGTCCAGGAAGCAGGCGGCATATGGCTACCTTCTCCAGAGGGGTGGTCTCCTGGCACCTGCCTCCTGCCCTTCCTCGAATGACAAGACTTGCTCAAGTATAAAGGCCTCTGCCATCACTTGTGCCTGTCTTAGACACAGGAGGCCATTCAGCAGGTCCTGCCAGAGTCAGTCCTGTAGTGGGCAAGCCCTGTCAGCCAGTCCTGTAGTAGACAGGCCACATCAGAGTCAGTGCTGTAGTGGACAAGCCACGTCAGGTCTGCCGAGCTGACACTGAGGCCTGCCTGGGCCCTGGCTCCTGGGAGCCGGGGTGATGATCTGTCACTGAGCCCCACTGGAGCTGTGTGGAGCGAGCAAGGTGCCTGCACATGCACAGGCCTGCTAGGTGGCCTGTGTGTCCAGCACAGGTCTCAAGCACTCAGAGAGATCTGGGAACAGAATAATGATTCCCTTCTTCTTTGGAACTCTGACTGGGCAGACAAAAGCAGAGCACCTGCCTTAGCATCATATTTTGCTGAAAAGGAAAGGACACACACCCAGCAGTATGGCCTATGTATGTTCAGGTTGCTGGTTTACCCCTGAGGCATTGCTGCCCTTCTAGGAGACATTGAAAGTCAGTGTGCATAGTGAGAATGACTGGAAAGAGTTGCTAGTTTATAAAATACATGTATTATTTCCACAATCTTATGTCACACAGCCGAGAAACCTACAATGCGCTTACTAATTGGTTAACAGATGCCAGAATGCTGGCCAGCCAGAGCATCGTGATTATCCTGTGCGGGAACAAGAAGGACCTGGACGGGGACCGGGAAGTCACCTTCCTCGAAGCCTCCAGGTTCGCACAGGAGAATGGCAAGTGACCTGCCTCTTATAGCTTCTGAAAGGGGAGATTTGGGGGCCAGGCACTTCGTTGGCTTTAAAACTCCTCCTGGTGTTTTGGGATTAAATTATATTAGAAAATGTGGAATTTCCATCATAAATTTAGGCTTATTGAGTGTGTTTACATTACACTGCCTTGGGCCTACAAAGTTACTATACACCAGGTGCTGGTGGCTCACACCTGTAATCCTAGCTACTCAGGCTGAGATATGAGGATCACAGTTCAAAGTTAGCATAGGCAGGAACATCTATGAGATTCTTATCTCTAATAAACTACTCAGAAAAAGCTGGAAGTGGTTGTATGGCTCAATGATAGAATGCTAGCCTTGAGCAAAAGAAGCTCAGGGACAGCGTGTAGGCCTTAAGTTCAAGCCCCAGGACACCACGAACACACACACACACACACACACACACACACACACACACACACACACACACACACACACACACACACACACACACACACACACTGAAGACAGCAAGTGCGTTAACATTCTTTAATGACTTTTCAGCCTAGCATCTCTGGATACAGAGGTCTTGGGATAGAGCAGTTTTTATGTAGTTTGAAACCAAATTGGTGAAATATTCACCCTAAATAGAAAGGAAAATAGTTGTATAAACTTGGATTGGCGGCTTTATTTTTCTCATGATGCCAGTCATTTGGTTGTACGTGACTTTGAAATTTTCATTTTCCATTCCGAATAGACATACTGCCACATAAAATAAGTGTTTGCTAGGGAGAGCAGAGTGATTTAAAATTCAAATGTCTTAAATAAGTTTAGGAAGTAGAGGAGTGGCTGAAGGGATAGATTGCCAGTCTTGAATGGAAAAATAACCTAATTAGAGTGTGAGAGCCTGAGGGCAAGTACTAGTAACAGGACACAATAACAACAGCTTTCATTCTGAAAGTACTCCAGAACTAGAATATAGTAACGTCAGTTTTGATTGGACTCTGGGATAGAATTGGATCTTTCTGCTCAACAGGTTTTCTGCTAACAGGAGAGTGGTCCATACCCCTACAGCTGTTTACATGGAGACATTGAGAACAGAGCCAACACTCATGTGAGAGAGTTAGGAAGGGCTGCTTCTGCCAGGCAGGACTAGAGATCCGGAGGCTGTTCACCCCTGCTCTGGGGATGAAAGGAGAATTGGTTTTGTAAGGCTTCCTCATGTGCTGGATGGCAAATGGCATCACAGCCCCCCAGCAAGCGTGAATGCCATAGGTAGTACAGATCGTTGAGAGAAGGAAATTAGGGGCTGGAAGCATAGCTTGGTTGGTAAAATGCAAGCCAGTGAGCAAAAGTGTAGGGAACAAGTTCAAGTCCTAGCCTTGGAACTAAAGAGAGAGAAAGAGAGAGCGAGAGAAGGGCATTATGGTTGGATATAAATCAAGGCCTTAGATTGCCATTTCAGCTAGCCTCCTTCCTGACAAGCATTGGCTTATGAAAGCCAGCCTTTCATCTTGTCCACAGGTTGGGCCAAGCACAAAGCAATAATTACTGATCAGAAAAGGTTATATTCCCTTTAACATTTCTTAGAACAAATTGACCATTCACCAGCTTTGGTGAACGTTCACCAGTGGCCCAGGCCTAATACTATCTACTTGGGAGGCTGAAGTACAGAGCGCTTCGGCTTGAAACCAGCCCAACTAGAAAAAATCCACAAAACTCCATCTCCAAAAAAAAAAAAAAAAACAACCCAGCAATATCCCAACTACCCAAAAAGTTTAGCTCTGATCATCAAAACCAGCCCAGGCAGACAAACCCAAGAGACTCAGCATCAATTAACCAGCAAAAAAGCCAGAACTAGAGGCATAGTTCAAGTGGAAAATGCTAAATGTGATCAGAAAAACCTAACCAAAAGTATGAGGCCCTGAGGTAAAGCCCTACCACTAGCACAAAACAAACAAGACAGCATCAGGTGCTGGTGGCTCATGCCTGAAATTTACCTCCTGGGGAGACTGAGGACTGAGGATCATGGTTCAAAGTCAACCTAGTCAGGAAAGTCCATGAGACTCTTATCTCCAATTAACCACCAGAAAACTGAAAGTGGCTATGTGGATCAAAGTGGTAGAGCACTAGCCCAGAGCAAAAGAAGTCAGGGACAGTGCCCTAACCCTGAGTTCAATCCCTACAACTGACTACAAAAAACAACAGCAGCAGCAGCAAAAAGCCACACTGCCTTAGGAGGTAGAACACCAGCCAGCCAACCAAGTCTGAAGCCCTGAGTTCAAACCTCCATACTAGACAAGCCAGTGGGGAGAGGGTTTGGGGTGATGAATTCTAGTCTAAGAGAATGATAACTAGCCTCTTTGTAGTTAAAAATCTTGTAAACATGGCTCCATGTCTTGTTTGATGTCCCCTTTAGAGCTGATGTTCCTAGAAACCAGCGCACTGACAGGAGAGAACGTAGAAGAAGCTTTTATGCAATGTGCAAGAAAAATACTTAACAAAATTGAATCAGGTAAAAAAAAAAAAAAAAAAGCCTTTTTCTGGACACTTTCCTGTAAGTTTTCTGGCCATGTATATTACCTTTGGCACTTTTCCCAGCAAAGCATACTCTCCCTGCACCTGCCAGTCTGAAGTTGAAGTGACAGGTTTGAGGGTCCTGTGCCCACTTGCCAGGACAGCTTCTACAAGGGACATGGGTTCACTGCCTAGGAAGAGAGCATCTGGGCTGGAGCCCACGGGGCAGGCTTACCCTGACAGCCAAGTCTTTGGGTGGTCAGTCAAGAAGGAAGAGCAGGTGGCTGGGCTGCCACAGTGTTGATCCTGTTGAAATGGTCACCTTTGAGGCAGGGTCAGCTGGGCAAGGCTAGGGAGGGACCACGGCACTGGTTGCTGCAAGCTGGGTACCACAGCTGTGTGGTTGACAATAACTGTTGTTACACTAGCCAGCGGGCTTCAACTGACATCTCATTGTTGCCTCAGTGGGAATGTTTGTTGTCAGTCATCAGGCCTGAGCTCAGGACCTGGCCACTGTCACTGAGCTCTTTCACTCAAAGCTAGCACTCTGCCATTTTGAGCCACAGCCTCACTTTCAGTTTTTTGGGTTTTCTGGTGGCTCATTGGAGATCAGTCTCACAGAATTTCCTGCCTGAGCTAGCTTTGAACAGTGATCCTCAGATCTCAGCTTCCTGAGTCGCTAGGATGACAGGTGTGAGCCACCAGCACCCGGTTTCAGTGAGAATTTTTAAACAGTCTGTCCGTGGTCAGCTAACAGAGTATTACATGATTGTCACCCAGTAACTTGGATTTTTTACTTAAATGTTGCCACAAGTAAATGTGAGCATTTTAATGTCCTCACATATTTGAGCACCTCTGGAGACAGTGCACCCCTGAGGTCCCAGCAACTTAGGGGGCTGCCAGACCACTTGTGCCCAGGGGTGTGAGGCCAGCTGGGCCGGACCCGGAGACCCTTCTCAACAACACGCAGCTGTTCATTGTCACGTGTTATCAGAATGAGAAGTCACAACCTTTGCCCTTAAACTTTCATGGAAGAGACAGAGTGCTGCGAGGAGGGCAGCCTTCCTCAGACACAGGATGGAAGTCCCAGACAGGGCAAGTGTGAGGAAGAGAACAGCTCTGCGGGTGAGGGGCGCAGGACACTGGGCGACAGCGGCCAGCCTGGGGAATGGAGGTCACCTTCCAGGTCACATTTTCTCAGCCTGGCTGTGCGGCAGCCACTGGATGTGTTGATAGTCCTGGATGTGTTGATAGTCCTGGTCCCCAGCAGCCCCTGAGTCGATGCTGCAGAATCGGTGGGGCTGGCAGGTCTGTGTTTCCGGACACTTCCACAACTGCTGTCCACGCAGGGGAAGTCTCTGAGAACAGGTGGGGGCTGGGGAGCCAGGCTGGCGGCTCTGTGAGGACCAACTGCTGGGGGCAGGTGCATGGATCCTGGTATGACTGAGGAAAGCTTGGGCTGCCCTGTCTACCTAGGAGCATGACGAGCTGAACAAAGCTAGGCACTGGAGGCTGAGATCTGAGAATCACGGTTCAAAGCCAGCCCAGGCAGAAGAGCCCATGAGACCCTTATCTCCAGTTAAACAAAAAAGCTTGTAGTAGAGCTATGGCTCAAGTGGTAGAGCATTGGCCTTGAGCAAAAGTGCTCAGTGACAGCATCCAGGCCCTGAGTCCAAGCCGCAGGACAGATTAGGCTGAACCCAGGGAACGTAGTCCTCAAGGAGGGGCTGGTGGGGCTTGTCCCATTCTCCCAATCATGGCTGCACAGAAGAGCCATGTTCAGCGTGTACTAACAGAACTGCTTCTAGTGGGGGAACAATGTTCCGCTTTGTTTAATTTTACGTTGATTTTTTGTGTATATATGATATATTCATATTGTGAATATATAAATGCAAACAATATGAAGAGTATGCAAGCCAGGCGCTGTTGGCTCACACCTGTAATCCTACTCAGGAAGCTGAGATCTGAGGGTGGCAGTCTGAAGCCAACCTGGGCAGGAAAGTCCATGAGATTCTCATCTCCAGTTAGCTGTGGCTCAAAGAGCAAAAAAGCTCAGGGATAGCACTCAGGCCCTAAGTTCAAACCCTACAACAGACCAAAAAAGAGTATGCAATAAAAGTCCCCCTCGATTGCTTGCTGCCCCTTCTGCCCCCTCCCCCTGCCCCAGCCTCCCAGACTCTTTGAAGTGGAATGGGTCACTGGTCCTGTGACTACCCCACCACCACCAGTGATACATAGCTCCCACACAAGCACAGGTTTGTGTTCTTCCTCTTTCCTCCGTGCCTGGTGCTCTGACTCTGCTAGTTTGGGGACCACAGCATTTGTGACCATTCTTGCTAAAAAATGCTTGTGTGGTCCTCAGGTGAGCTGGACCCTGAGAGAATGGGCTCTGGCATCCAGTACGGCGATGCTGCCCTGAGACAGCTGCGGTCCCCCAGACGCACACAGGCCCCCAGTGCACAGGAATGCGGCTGCTAGGCCTCGACGCAAGGTGGGTGCCTGACTGAGGAGGAGGAGGAGGGCGGACAGGAAGCCGCCGGGACGGGAGAGGACAGTGTGAGCACGGGACTTACACTGTGCAGGATGGGAAGGCAGGATGGGCAGCCTGGGCCACAGGGCTGAGGCTGGACCCTCCTCCCTTCACGGGGAGGCCTCCATGAATGGCTTCTTGCTAAAACCAGCAAACTTTCCATTTAACTTTTCAAAGCTTCCTCTTTTCTATTTATTGCTATGGACTTCTTATAGTTAGCATTATCTAGCATGTGTAACCATTCAACAAGAGATGTTCATTAATTCAGGCTCCAGCTATCTATCTATATACATATCTATGTATATATATGTATGTATATGTGTGTGTGTGTGTGTGTGTGTGTGTGTGTATATATATATAAAATTTTGCAGTTACAACCATACAGAATTCTAATTGTTGCTAATGTTTTCCAGTTTCTACCATGGTATCAGGGCATAGCTGCTGGAACGTGAAGAATCTGATGTTTTTCCTGCCATCTTTTTCTACTCTGTGCAGTAGATCATTATGAGGAAACAGCAATGCCCACTGGAGGATGGCCCAGCCTCCGTGTAATAACTCTGACTCGATGGACAGTATCATCAAATGTGTACATGTGTGTGGAAACTCAGTGGACAATTCTACTAAACATGTTCATGTATGTAACCTATATGTAGAACTCTGGCTGCACCTTCCCTCCCACCTGACATTTCCGTTGTAGCTCTGTTCCAAACACATCTTGCACATTTCCAAGGCATGTATCTGATATATGATAGGATAGAAAATTGCACTAAATGTTTAATTTTTTAATCACAGGAACTGAAATTGGTGAGTGTGAGGTGTGTTTTTTTTCTCATCGTGTTGGTTATATTTATGACCTGATAGGTAAGGACTCTGGCACCACTAATCAGTGCACTACTTACTTAATTCTGCTTATCCCATTCTACACTGTTGGTGTGTTCCACACTCAAAACGCCAGATCAGTAGTCACTGGCTAGCATCCAAAATGCAATGGAAAGTGGGTTTCCTGTGAACTGTCTTATAAGCCAGCTGTAAGGAGACCGCAGATCCTGTGTTGCACTGTGTCCTCCTTATCCTGTAACCAATAAACAAATGTTGCTGGACGCCAGACCTCAGTGCCTGCGATCAGTGATGCCCACCTCGGAGAAACAGAGACGGAAGTGGTTTGGTTTTGGACAATTCGTGGAAAATGTATGAATACATCCTACAAATATTACATTTTCAAAAACCTCTTAATGTCTCCTTTAGGAGAACTAATTTTCTAGGAAAAGGTTATAAAGGTCATTTAGACTTGAGATTATAGTTTTTCTAGACCCACACATGTGAAAATGAGAACATCATAGTTTGGGATCTACACTGAGTTGGTTGAAAACACAGCTTGCAGCTTCTTGAAGAGTTTTTGGGATCATTAAGAACACGGGTAACTGCTTAAAGACTCATGCTAAAATTCAATTTGTATTGTGGCATGGAGGATTATGGTTCACTTTTTTTCCCTTTTTTTGGAAGAAATAATTAGAACTTTTAAACATCTATGAACTTTTTCTTTTTTGGGGAGGGGTCCGGTTGTGGGGCCTGAACTCTGGGCCTGCGCGTGTCCCTCAGCAATTCAGCTCAAGGCTAGCGCTCTACCACTTGAGCTACAGTGCCACTTCTGGCTTTTTTCTTTTTGCTTATGTGGTGCTGAGGAATCGAACCCAGGGCCTCATGCATGCAAGGCAAGCGCTCTACCACTGAGCCAGCTTCCCAGCCCATGAACTTTTTCTTCTAGTACCAAGCACTGAGCTACATCACCAGCCTTTTTGTCTGCATTTTTGTTTTTGAGATAGAGTGTCACTAACTTTGTCCAGGCTGGCTTCAAAGTCCTGATCCTCCTGCCTTTACCCCCTGAGAAGCTTGCGATGACAGGTATGTGCCACCACATCCTGCTACCTGTGAACTATGAATAATTTTGTCAGTTGAGTGTATTTCCTAATCTAGGTAAATACAGAGCCCAGCTTGTCACAATTGTTGCTTAGTTACCTCCCTAACTGTATTAGCAACTTTAAGAGTTGTTTTTAGATCTTTTTTAAGAACATTAGACTAACTTTAAGTGAGACAGTGGCCAGGTTGTCCGCCTCACCTCAAATAAAAGGGTTAATTTTCCTGTCTGAAATAATGTGACCAGGACATGTTGATTGTTTTCTTTTAAAATAGCATTGTGGCCCTACATAAGTGGTTCACACCTGTGATCCTAGCTACTCAGCTGAGATCTGAAGATCGGGATTCAAAGCCAGACCAGGCAGGCTAGTCCATATGACTCTTACCTCCAGTTAACCAGCAAAAAAGCCAGAAGTGGAGCTGTGGCACAAGTGGTAGAGCACAAACCTTGACAAAAAAAAACCCAACCAAACAAACAAACAAACAACCACTTGGAAACAGCACCCAGGCCCTGAGCCCAAGCCCCAGCACCAGTGCACACACACACACACACACACACACACACCCAATGTGGTCTTCCCCAGGCCCTGAGCCCAAGCCCCACACCGGTGCGCACGCATGCACACACACACACACACACACACATGTGTTCTTCCAATTTCAGCTGTGGAGATTTTCAGGATCCAGACTGTAGCTGCGGCTTTGGGGCCCCTGTGCCTCCTGGCCACCTCAGGTGCTCACACCCCCCACCTCTCTTGAGTGTCTCCACCTCTTCATACATCGTCATCGGAAATCTGCCGTTTCCCCCAAAATAGTTCAGCACACATATTTTAACTTTAGGAGTTCCCATACCATCAGGAGCCCACAAGGCCAAACTGATCTACATTGGAAAGGCAAGGTTCTCTTCTTTCATAACATACTGGGGTTTTTCCAACATGTGGCCAGTTGTGCTGGGCGGGCAGGCCATGATTTCCACAGGAGAGAGAATGTGATGTTTGGCTTTCTGAGCATGACTCATTATGCTTAACCCAATGATTTCCAGTTTCATTCATTGCATATGACATGACTTCAGTCTCCTTTATGACTGAATAATTCTCCATCATGTATAAATGCTACATTGTACTTATCCATTCATCTGTTGCTAAATACTCTTAATAGGCTGACTCCTTAGGTGAATGTTAATTCACGGTGCTGCCACATACATGGGTGTTCAGGTCTCTGTAAGCAGCTGACTTTCATTCCTTCTGGTATATACCCAGAGGTGGTGCAGTAGTATCCTATGGTGGGTCTAATTTTAGTTTTTGAGGAAGCTCAGTACAGATTTCCCTCCTGCCTGGACTAGTTCACATTCCCACCAGCTATGTACGTGGGTCCCTAGTCAGCATTTGTTGTTTTCTTGCTGGTTGCATTCTGACTGGGATGATGCAGAATCTTAGCGTAGTTTTAATTTGCATTTCCCTGCCAGATGAAGATGTGGAACATTATTTCATATAGTTGTTGCCCTTTTGGATTTCTTCTCTTGAAAGGTATCTGTTCGGATCATCTGCTCATTTTATTTTGCATCCTAGGTTTGAGAGAGTTGAATGTGTGCTGTGTGGATCTGTTTTGTGGGAGTTCTGGCGTGGGTCATGGCACCTCCACAGTAGGAGCAGCATGTGTGCACGTGCATGGTCTGTCCTAGAGAGACCTTCTCTCCGGGGTCAGGGAGCTTCAACCGCACAAGGAGCTGCTGGGAGCTCCACTGAGGACCCATGAAGGACCCACCGGGCCTCACAGGAGCCAGTGGGACTCAAGTTGGACCCATACAGGGCTGCTCCAAGCCCACGGCCAGTCTGCTGTGCAGTGTGGTATGAGGAGTCAGTGCTGCTCCTCAGCTTTGCCAGTCTCTTGGGCACCATCACAGCCAAGTCCCTGTGGTGAGCCCACAGAGTGAGGGTTAGAGAGTGAAGATGAGTGACCGCCATGTCCTCACAGGACTGACTGAAGGAGTGGCAGGTGTTTATTTTCCTACCCTGACTTCAAGATTATATAACTTCACCTAAACCTGGCTCTGTGATCTGCTGAGTTGGAGAGCATGTCTTCATCTACTTCCCAAGCTTTACCCCATCCTGGTTACTCCTGTACATTAGAGATCCAGTGTGAGGTCTCAGAGCCTCACCCCATCCTGGTTACTCCTGTATATTAGAGGTTCTGCTGTGAGGTCTCAGAGCCTCACCCTGACCTAGGTACTTCTGTACATTAGAGATCCGCTGTGAGGTCTCAGAGCCTCATCCTATCCTCTATATTAGGGATTCACTGTGAGGTCTCAGAGCCTCACCCTGTCCTAGGTACTCCTGTACATTAGGGATTCACTGTGAGGTCTCAGAGCCTCACCCCATCCTGGTTACTCCTGTATATTAGAGGTTCTGCTGTGAGGTCTCAGTGCCTCACCTTTTGTTTTTTATAGGAAGGAGTATTTCCAATTAAAAACAATAACTTTAGTGCTAAACTAGGAATATTGTCACAACCTGCAACTCTGATGATGGGTTTCAGCAGGTTGACACTATTGCACATTGGAAGTGTATAAATGGGAAGTGTGCTGCCTTCACTGTGTTTCCATACCAGGCATCTCTGGGGCTGTGCGTCTTTCCAGCTGAGCCTTCTCACCTGGCATCCCTGGAGCAGCATGACTATGTGTTCAGTACTCCTGAAATCCTTGCTGCCTTTCCCTCTTCCTCACTTTCTCCCTTTCAGGGTATCTGGAGGCAGATGACCAGGCTCTGTCCTGTATTGTGTATAACTTATTTGTCATGCCAACTTGGATGGATTGGGGAAAATTCCAGAGCACAGCTGCTAATTCAAAGACACTCGACCTTTTAATAAAGTTAAAGCTGACTTGCCCTACATAGGCCTTGTACCAACTTATACTCCACATATAGAATAGGCTGTCCAGCTATTTAAATCCACAGCTTTTTTGTAGTGGTTTAATTAAGCGTTTGTCTTCGTTAAATGTTGGCTGTCAGTCCATGGTAGCTGAGAAGGCAGCGTTCTCTCCTGAAGAAGACTGCGTCCAAAGCATTAATGACACCAGACTCCTGGGGGTGTCACTGCCACAGAAGTGAGAGTCAGTGAAACTTGGGTTGTTTTTAAAACACCTGTGGTCAGTGTGACTAGAGAACCACAGCCTGGAACCAGCAGCAAAAGGCTTGTCTCTCTGAAGAGAGAATATCCACGTGCGCGTGCATGTGTGTGTTTCAAACACATTAGGCTCACACCAGCGAAACAGCCATCTCTGCATCCACTTGTTTCACTTCTGCAGTGGAGCCACAGGCTCCGGCACCCCTGCAGAAGTTTGTGAGATAGACTCAGGTGTCACCTGACCCTTCCCTGATTTAACAATAGACAACACCATCCTTATACGTCCTTATACCATCCTCCACCCTGCTGCACTCGGAGGGCTTTCTTAGTCTTCTTGAATGTTCTGTGGAGACATGTCTCCTTTAACCAAATCCTTATAGGTAAATAACTGACTCATTTCCATTTCTCTCCCAAGATGGTCCAAGGCGGTTTGGTTAATGGCGCCATTGCTAATTTCTCAGTCTTTCTCCCTACATTTGTTAGAAAGCCTTTTCTTCCAGTTCCTGTACATTAAAGAGCCAGCTAGTACAACAAATGTGCAAATTGGGGTTTTTTCCCCTTTGTGCTGGTCCTTGGGCTTGAACTCAGGGCTTGGGTGCTGTCCCTGAGCTTTTTTTGCTCAAGTCTTAGTACCACTTGAGCCACAGCTCTGCTATCCGATTTTGGTGGTTAATTGGAGATAATGAGTCTCAGAGACTTTCCTGCCCAGACTGGCTTTGAACCATGATCTTCAGCTCCTGTGTAACTAGGATTACAAGCATGAGTCTTTAGCACCCAGCTTGCAAGACCTTCTTGATGAAAACTTCAAGACCTCACAGAAATAAATGTTAAGAAGCCAGGTACCAGTGGCTCACATCTGTAATCCTAGATTCTTAGGAAGCTGAGATCGGAGGATCATGGTTCAAAGCCAGAAAAGTCCTCAAGACCCTGTCTCTAAACCAGCAAAAAGGGGCTGGGAAGGTGGCTCAGTGGTAGAATGCATACCTTGCATGCCAGAGGCCCTGGGTTCGAATCCTCAGCACCAAATAAGCAAAAAGAAAAAAGCCGGAAGTGGTGCTGTGACTCAAGTGGTAGAGCGCTAGGCCTTGAGCTGAAGAGCTGAGGGGCAGCACCCAGGCCCAGAGTTCAGGCCCCATGACCGGACCCAAATAAATAAATAAATAAACCAGCAAAAAGGAGGGCTAGAGGCATAGTTCAAGTGAGTAGACCATCAGCTGAGCAAGCCCTAAATTCAAACTCCAGCACTACCAAAAAAGAAAAAGAAATACAGGGAATCCAGCCTAAATGGAGATATGGTACAGTTGGGGATTAAAAAGAGCCAGTATTATAAAGACATCAATCCTCTAGAATTATTCAGTAAATCCAACACAGCTTAACGAAACTCAAAAATGAAATGTTTAAATAGTGCATATAAAAAGAAAATAGGCGAGAAAAGGGGAAAAGAAGTGGGCATGGAGAGACTGGCTCTGCCAAATATGAAAGTATAACACAAAACTAATAAGGTGAAGTAGAGGAAGGCTCAGGCACAAGCCAACACAGCAGAGTGGCACAGACACCTCCCAGGTCTCAGGGGAGGGTGGAAACATTACGTAGCATCTGATGCCACCAAGGGCCCTGTTTATCAGCTTGGATTCCAAGACTTGAGGAAACAACAAAGGGACTCACAAAAGAAGGCAGTGTGCTTGGCTAGATTTCTTTTCAAAATGATTTTATTGGCCAAAGCACACAAATAGGCTATTCACGATTAAAGACTGATCAACATGAAAGAGAAGCTAAGAGTGAAATGCAACATATTCTATTTCTGATTTTGACAATATATAGGATTGTTTTTTTTGCTAGACATTTATCAACAGAAATTCTCAAAGAACTAGCTGGAGTTGCACTTTTCTGGTTTTGTATTCAGCTTTAGTGATTTCTATTTCACCTTCATTATTCTTTTTTTGTAGTACTGAAGTTTGAACTCCGGACTTTGTATCTGCTAGGCTAGCACTCTACCACTTGAACTGTTTCTCTAGCTCTGCCTATTACTGGTTATTTTGGAGATGGAGTCTAGCAACCTTTTCTATATAGGCCAGCCTCTAACCACAATCCTCTGGAACTCAGCCTCCTGAGTAGCTAGCATTACAGGTATGAGCCACCAGTTCCCAGCTTCTTCCTTTATTCTGCTAGAAGTGAGTTTACTGCAGCTGCCCTTTTCCAGAATTATGGATCCGAAACCTTTTTTCCTAGTAAAGATTCCTATGTGATCAAAATTTTTCCACACTACTTTATCACTGCCCACAAATATTAAATTTATGATGTAACTTCATTTCACTTTGGAACATTTTCTAATTTCTTTTGAGACTTTTTCTTGTCAACTCATGAATATGTTATTTCCAAATAACATTACCAGTTACTGGTTTCTACTTTAATTCCGTCATGGTCAGAAACATACCTGATCTGCCTGCCTTCGATGACTTGAGCTTGTTAAGGTCTACGCAGCAGGGTGTGGTCCGGCCTCTGACAACAGTGCTCACGCGAAGCCTATTTCCAGGTGTGCCTGATGATTCGTCCTATCCGACTCCCTCGTGTATTTTGCAGTCTTGGTCTTCATTTCAGAAGCCATGTCAGCTGGCCCACAGGGCTGCTGTTCCTGTTGAAACCCCACCCATTGCTGGCAGGGAACATTTGCTCAGCTCTGCCTATGGACAGGACACTCACACACCTCAGAGACCAGAGGTCCTGGAAAGGCCCCCGCATCTGTGTCCTGCAGTCAAACAGGGTGATCCTAGGTGCGCATTCTTGGTAAACTCACCCCCTACTTTTCTCGTTTTTGTTTTTTTGGTCCGGTCATGGGGCCTGAACTCTGGGCCTGGGCGCTGTCCCTCAGCTCTTCAGCTCAAGGCTAGCGCTCTACCACTTGAGCCACAGCGCCACTTCTGGCTTTTTTCTTTTTGCTTATGTGGTGTTGAGGAATCGAACCCAGGGCCTCAGGCATGCAAGGCAAGCGCTCTACCACTGAGCCACCTTTCCAGCCCCCCTACTTTTCTCTTGAGTTAGGGTCTTGGTAACTTTACCCAGGATGGCATTCAACTTGGTATCCTCTCTGGCTCTTAAGTAGCTGGGATTATAGACATATGCCACCAAGCTTGGCTGTGAACTGACACTTCTTAATATACAATAATCCCAATTCACCAAGAAAGCATTCAATAGAAGGTTGATATATTTGCATTTTGGCTTATCTTGGTTCCATACTTTGCTTCTCTGCCTTCCTTTAACTGCAGTCTTTTTGAGTTGAGCTTTTACTTCTTTTTTTGTGCTGGTCTTAGGGCTTAGACTCAGACCTGGGTGCTATCCCTGAACTTCTTTTTGCTTAAGGTTAGCACTCTATCACTTGAGCCACAGCTCCACTTCCATTTTTTGGTTTTGGAGGTAAATGACTCATGGACTTTCGACTTTCCTGTCTAGCCTGGCTTTGAATCATGATCCTCAGATCCTAGCCTCCTGAACTGCTAGGATTACGGGTAAAAGCCACTGGTGTTCAACTAGGTAGAACATTTTTATATAATGATTCTGACTATATATTTTTGTACATTGCTTTGAAGGAGAAATTTATACTTAAAACCAGCAAATTTTATCATGTTAATGGAAACACTGCCACCAAGTGGATTTCTCTACCCACTCCCTTTCTGTGAAAGCTATCATTACATCAACACATTGAAATCACTATCAATGTTATGTTTTTTTTTTCTTTCAACCACGATATGTTTTAAAGAACTCAAAAACCAGGTATTACTGGCTCATATCTGTAATTCTAGGTACTCAGGGTGCAGGTCTGAGGAATGTGGTTCAAAGCCAGCCTAAACAGACAAATCCTAGAGACTCTCATCTTCAAGTAACCAGCAAAAAGCCAGAAGTGAAGCTGTGTCTCAAGTGGTAGAGCACCAGCCTTGAGCAAAAAAGCCAAGAAAGAACTGGAGGCATAAGGCTCAGTCCCCAGTACTGACTTGTGTACACACACGTGTACACACACACACACGTGTACACACACACACACACACACATAGAATAATCCATTTACTGACCCAGACAGCTACAGCTTCTTTTTCTCCCTAATTTCCCCATGTCCTGTGTCTGCTCTTTTCCTCACATCTCAATAAATTCCTGTAGCAATTTCTGAGGAGTTGTTCTTCCTGCTTAACTAAGCTTAGTTTCCCTTCATTTAAAGCTCTTTATCTTGCCTTTGTTCCAGTGCTGGGGCTTGAACTCAGAGCCAAGGCGCTGGCCCTTAGCTTCTTCCCTCAAGCCACTGCTTTACAACTTGAGCCACATTTTCACTTCCAGCTTTTTGCAGGCTAATTGGAGATGAGGGTCTCATGGACTTTTGTGCCTGGACTGGCTTTGAACTATGATCCTCAGACCTCAGGCTCCCCCTCTTTTTGCCCCCCCCCAGTAGCTAGGACTGCAGGCCTGAGGCATCAATACCTGGCTTTCATTGACTACAAAAGCAGATGTGCCAGGTAATCCTGGCACGCCTGTAATCCTTGCTAATCAAGAGGCTGAGATTTGAGGATTGTGGTTCAAAGCCAGCCCAGGCAGGAAGGTCTTTGAGACTCTTATCTCCAATTAACCACCAGAAAACCAGAAGTGGAGCTGTGGCTCAAGTGGTAGAGCACTAGCCTTGAGCAAAAGGGCTCAGGGACAGCACCTTGGCCCTGAGTTCAAGGCCCACAACTGGCAAACAACAACAAAAACATAGATGTATTCAGAAATTTTGCAGGTCACCAAACACAAGCTGTCTTAAAAACTAAAAATACTCATTTCTTCTTCTTCACTTCAGTCCAACAGACGTATGGAGGCATTCTTAGTTCAATAACCTACTACTAATTTTTATCTAAAAATAGAAAAACATTTTTAGGGCTACTTGTTTTTAATGAAGAACTGAAAACCAAATTTAAAAGAGACCCTTATGTAGTATATATTTTAAATGTCACTGGATTATTAATTTTAATGAAAGGCAATTTTAAACTATCTCGCTGTCTTGCAATTTGTCCCAGGAATCAGGAACATGGTTACAACCACATTAGTTCCTTGAATAAGAAAAAAAGTTTGTTAGTAAAACAGAGTTGTTACAACTTTAAGTTTTCATAGGGTATAATCTTCACCTTTAAAAAAAACAAAAAGGAAAGGAAAAGATACCCTAGGGAGTAAGGGCTGACAAGAAAAGTGAGTGACAGCTTGTTCATACTGATTTATTCATTGTACATGCACATTAAATTTCTTCTAAAATCTTGTTCATTTGTCCTCAATTTAATTAAAAAGGAGGAAAAAGTAGCCAGTATTGCCGTCTCTGTGTGTCTCTGTCTGGAGTTTTTGGTGGAAAAGGCCTAGCTGCTCGGTCTGAAGAAGTCAGCATCCTGGCTTCTGGTCAGCTGGGGCCTGCGCCTCCCACTTGTCTTTCTTAGACTGTCAGATGCAACCTGACATCGAGTTAAATGGAAAGAACAGACTTACGAGTCCTGGCTTTGCATGAGTAATTCTCACAATCCTATCCATCCCACCCGTTCATGGGAACTTCAGGACCTGCAATAATTAAAGATGGTTAACACTAAGATTCACCAGAATCATTAACAAGGTTGTGTTGGACAACATAGAGAATTTCCTCTTTTTTAATATACATTTCAGTGATTAGGAAAGCTCTCCACATAAAAGAGACTATACAAAACTATGCAAATATCTTTAAATATTTTTTAAAAAACATTATTCTTCAAAATGCATTTCCAAAGCTTAATACAGTTACAATTTTATATGGAATGAAACCAGTTTGTGTTCTAAGAAGTGATTATTGACCTGTAAGACACAGAATAAAAACACCAAGGAAATGTTCAACCTGGTGTCTAACACCAGATTTTCATCCAACATCTTCAAGTCAGAGCTGGCAAAGGGCAGCTCTCTATATGCAAAAGCATGTAACACTCATCCTTCTAGAAGAGTCTTCTCTGCAGGATAGAGAAGAATGCCTGACTGAGGGAAGCCTGTATTCTCTAAGACCCTAAAGGCAAGTGCACTAAAGAGTGAACCACTGTTTAAGTACATCTGTCCCACCAGCTAGCCAGGAATCAAGTGGTAAAGTAGACAGCCTAACATACAAACATCCATCATCACTGAACTTGCAGTACACTCTGCAGAGAAATCAGGTGGCCATGCCTGTACCCAGAACCTCTTCCTGACAGGCAACAACTTCAACTCATTAAATGTAATTTCAGATTACAAATTCTAAACATCACTGCCAGCTGCTGAAAAAGAGGCAGGTGTCCACAGGGAGTGTATGGCAAGCAAAAGACCAGACTAACAAGTAGCTGACTACCTCATATGTTCTAAACACAAATATTGCAATTTAAAAAAGTTGAAACTCTGACTCAAAAGAAACCTCGTTACTATTCTAACCCACTGAACTTACTTAACTCACCAGAATGTATTTAAACTATTAAACTACCACATAAATGCCTAGATGATCATTTAAAGGGAAAGTAACCCTTGCCTTGCCCAGATATTACAATCTACACAGAAAGTGATGCAATCTGAAAAATAAATACATTGTTTAATTTTTAGTAGCTACCAAAGTTCTAGTCTCATTACAAATGGAATCAATTATAGTAATGAAAACCATTTTTCACTTGATACTCCTTTGCAAAGAAAACTACATATAGTTAAGTAAAAAATAAAATAAAATAGAGCCCTGTGCTGCAGGATGGAATAATCCCACAAACAATGGGATGTGGCAAGGCTCAGAACCGGATGAGAGGGGCTCTGCTACACTAAAGGAGATGTCTGTCAAGACGTATCTGTAGCCGTTTAAGGGCATTTGGTGTATCTTAAAAGATAAAGATGTTTTAAAATTCTTACAAGAATATCAGATTAGAGACTTGTCTTTGTAAGTAACTGAATGTCTATGGCTTTGACTCTCTCCCTACTACTGAGGTAGGTGACCGATATTCACCAAAATAAAATGACCTTCTGAAAATTCCCTAAGAAAAGCCTTGCATGTTCAGTGTTTCTTCAAACCACTGGTTTCATTTAATAGTTCTCGTTTTCCTTTCTCTTCTGTCATGAGCACATTCTAGAACAAGCAGTTCCTAGGCCCTTGCTGAGTAACAACGCATGTACTCCGTCATCCACGGGTTCTCGGTGGAGACCTTCACCTTCCTGCTCTTGTCCACATCCACGGAGTGAGCACGCTGCCTTTGAGCAGCCAGTTTCCTTTTCTCCACCTGTCTTCTGTTCTTGGCTCTTAATGCTGATTCGTGAATCTAAAGAAAGTTTGAAAATCAAGTTTAATAGCTTAAGTATCTTTATACGAGCTCAAGACCACCTGCAATGAAGCCAGACACCTACCACCAGGTTCCTGAGACAGACCGGAGTCCTACTTCTCCATCTGCAGTTCTGTATAGAATATCCCATGGGGACTACACTTCACGCTACAGCTCACCTATTACTAGAGTTTCTGGCAAAACTGAGCAACATAAAATTAAATGTTACATAGAAATGGTATGCAACTAATTTGCTTCTGGAGTTGGCTCTAGAAAACTTAACAGTGCTCCACATTACAAACAAGAGAAACATAAAACAGTACACTAAGTACACAAGAGAGTTTACTGTCATTTATATCTGACAGGATACATCTTGTTATGCCAGCCCTGGTGATTTGTCAGGATCCTTTGTTAAGAACCTCCTTGTCTCAAATTTCACTCCAAATAACACCATCTGCTGGGCCCAGAATCTGCTAGGTGAAATTTCTGGCTTTGTTTTTTCTCAGTGGGTTCCTTCGTGTGGTATTTAATGGGAATTCATGGTGTGCAGTGTCTCTCTCTGCCACGCAGAAAGACGTCTCTGATGGCTATCGGGCAATCACACAGACACGTCAACACAGAAAGCGTCAAGGACATGGTTACCAAAGTAGAGGAGACCGGAGATGTCTCCAGAGACCGGGAGCCACAGCCAGGCTGTGCACCTCGGTGCCCTGTGCCCCAGAAACCAGAGAGCCATAGTGGCACCCACCTCCTTCTCTGGCTCATCTCTAACTACCAGCCTCGCCCCTTGTCCAGGTGACTGTGATTACCGAATCTCCTGCTGAGAACCAAGTGCTGGTTGGAGCTTCTCTGGCCCCCAGGCCATCTCAACCCCATGGCTCACAGCCCACTCTCCCCCAACCATGGCACCCAGTCCTCCTCCCCCAGCTCCCCCTGCCTGTAGGGGCAACGCTAGCAACACCCCAGTCGACTCCTCTCTTCCAAGGCAGACGCACCTCATTCACAGAGGCAGATGCACAGACATTGTGGGTCTTCTGATTCCCTGTATCCATCTGTTTCTCTCCCCAGCCATAAAGAGCAAATGGGTGCTTGTTTTCCTTTATTTGACTTGATGACCTCTGCGGACTTCTGACTGATTTCTTATTCTCTAGAGCAAATAAGGCACTTGGTTGCTGTCCAGGCTTGATGCTGGAGGGCGACTTGTCAGATGTGTCTTTTGTTATGGGTTCTGGTTTGTCAGATGTATCTTTTGTTCTGGGTTCTGGTTCTGGTTTTCCTTCTCCATCTTTCACCAGTAGTGCTTTAAAAAAAAAAAAAGAGGATAAAACAAGATGAAAATACTTTAAAATTGGGTTTCCATATAACTACTTTATCTGGGTTAAAAAAAATAATGCTTCATCAAGTCAGCAACATTTTTATCTATATAGCTCACCTCACTTGAAGCAGACATAAAATCCACTTGTCCTACTTTAGAGTCAACAACAAGGCTCCAATTGGACCAAGCCAATTCCAATGCAACCAAGACTGTTGTCCTCTGAGACCCATCTCGATGACCCTGAAGAGCCCCGCAGCTTAGGGGTCTTCCTACCCTGCCCCCGAGGTAGCTCAACCATTACCAGGCCAGCTGCATGGGCAGAAAAGCTAATGTTGTTTTCAGGTTAGACACTCAACATCTCTGGGCAGTAGACAGTCTCTGATTCTGCCAACGCTGTTCTGCTCTACCAAGAGCCAGTGGCCCCACTCTGGATCTAAAACCCTGCTGCAATGGGAGCTGTCTCCACGGCTTCTCCCCCAGGTGCCAGCTCTGCACCTCTAAAGTGAAAAGAGAGAGAGAGATGTCGGGACACAGTGATCTTCACCAGTCTGCACAGCCCAAATTCTGTCCGCAAAGCTGGCAAAATGATGGAAAATGGGGTAAGGTGGGATCCCGGCCTGAGGTGAGCATCAGGAATAAAGGACACCCTCCAAAGTCTCTCACATTTTCCTGTTACCTTTTGGGATTCTTTCCATCCAGTTATTAAAATACTGTGTAATAAAACATGACATTTTGTATTAACCATGTGAGAGTCTACCGAGAGGCACACTGGAGAGAGTTCCATTTGAGCTGCCCATCATCCAAAGAGTCCTCCGGGCCATCTTCCCCCAGCTACCACAGAACCTGGGTCTCCCTGGTGCCACCACATGCAGGGCAAGGACAGACTCTCACCCTGCAACCTTCGGCTATGGAGCCTGCCTGCCCCCCACCCCGGCAGAGCAGACTCCAGGTGGACAGTCCTGCAGGACCGCACCTGGCCACGGGACACCTTTAGGTTTCCCTGCCCTGGTTTCAACTCTACCAAACATCTCCCTTGTTGCCAAGCAGCTAAAGAATAGTGATCCAGTCTGATCCTGTGCCCAGCTCTGTAAACCCCACCATAGAACGACGTGGGGCTGACAGGAGGTGCCAAGTTCCACTTCTCTTTAAAAATCTCGAGCTTCACTCTGTGTGCTGTATCTACACCCTCTCCTCTCCTCCCCTTTCTTCTCCCCTCCTGTCCCCTTCCTGGTCTTCTCCTCTCCTCTCCCCTTCTGTCCCCTCCCCTCCTCCTCTAATCTCTTCTCCTTGTCTCTCCTCAGGAAGAGGAAAAAACAGACCCTTAGAGTTAAGGTTAAAAGGCAAAGAGGAGGCCAAGGAAGATCTATGCAGTTACAGTGCTAAGAATGAGGAAGATGACAGATCAGTTCCTTGATCCTTTCCCTCCTCTTCCTCTCCCTTTCTAAGTGTTTGGCCTAGATCTCCGGGAAGATGCCAAGAGAGGGTCATAATAATTCTGTTTAAAAGATAAGCTGAGAATCCAGGTGCCAGTGGCTCAGACATAGCTCCTTGGGAGGCTGAGATCTGAGGATCGGCATTTAAAGCCAGCCTGGGCAAGAAAGTCTCTGAGCCACTTATCTCCAACTAACCACCAAATAGCCAAAAATGGAGCTGTGGTTCAAGTGTTAAAATGCCAACCTTGAGTGAAAGAGCTAAAGGATAGCACTCAGGCCCTGAGTTCAGGCCCAAGTACCTGAACAAAAATAAGAGACAAGGGTAGGGCTGGCCGGGAAGAGCAGAGAAAGTGCCAGAAAGGGGAAATAGCTCGCTGAAAGGCAAAGAGGGAAGTAGGGATAACAGTTCAAAATGATAGACACACAGCATCTAAAGGTGAGAGTCCCAAATGGGTAGCATGAGGAAAACAGATTTTCTGTGCTAAACTCAAGAAATGGTAGAAAATCACTAATGAATTTTAAGCCAGGAGGTGGCACAGTCCTATTCGTATCTTAGGAATGAGGCTGTAGTTACACGTGTGAGGACTGGGTTACATCAGAGAGTAGGCCTGAGACCAGTCAAGAGAAGCCAGCACCATCCAGATGGCAAGGCCATGCAGAAGAAAGCAGGTCCACTGAGGCTGCAGGTGCTGACGGCCCTGGGCCACTGCAGGGCAGACACTGCTCAGCCCCGTGAGGGAAATGGGTAGCAAGGGTACTCTGAATGAGCCTGCCCAAGATCAGACATCCGAGCAACACTGTGTGAGACTAAGAAGCAAGATCAGCTGACATGGTATGGACACCCCAGGGAGCCGGGAGGACCAAGGGCTCCCACGGGGCTTTGAGTGGATGGTCCAGTGCATCCGCACGGATAGAAAGGCCCTTCGATGGTGAAGAAAGGTGCCGGGCAGAGCAGACCTACAGAGCGGACACTGCTGGACATGGACTGCTGGACATGGACAGATTGTGGCTTGGGAGAGATGATGTTGGAGATGAGGGTGGCCAGTGTGGGTGGTATGAACAGGGTCACCCAGAAGAAATGTGGAACCAGAAGCAAAAAGGGCACACTCAGACATGGAGCCTACTGATATTTAATGTGCAGGCAGAGAACTCGAGAGGAGAATGGAGGGAAAAATGGCATGAAAAGTTGAAAAATAACCAGAAGAGAGGATAAGGACAGAGGTGTGAGAGAAGTAAAGCACCATCACTGGTGCTTTAGTGCGGTGGGGGCAGACAGAGGGTTGTGTGAGTGCAGAAGGGGAGACGGGGCAGGGACCAGGCCACCAAAGGCTGAGCAGGAAAGAGTGGGACCTTGGGTCCTGGTCACAAGGACCCCACTGTCCTAGCAAGTGTCACAAGAAGTGGCCCCCGGCTGATGGTCCACAAGCACTGGCACAAGGACCTGTGATCTCTTCCGGGATCTCAGATTCCCAAATGAAACAGCAAATAACATTCCGTCATAATTACCAGTGTGCCATAGAAGCCAGGCACACAAGACAAAAGGAAACAAGGGAGGAGGAGCAGCTGGAACAACAGACTCAAGATCCCAAAATTATCACCTGCATATTATGAAAGACAGACTGGAGATCCTGAAATTATCCTCTACATACTATGAAAGGATTGTGCTTATTCTCTGTACTTAAGGAAAAAAACATGCTTGAAAATCTGTACCAGGAGACAAAAAGAAAAAAACAAAACAAAAAGAGAGGTAGAATATATCATTACTGTAATTTTAATATTGATGAAACTCTTAAGATAGTGCCTAGTACATGCTAATTATAACTAAATATATGTTTTTAACATTCTACTTGAAAGAATGAAGTTAAACACATTCTCAATACACAGTGTTCCACACCAGTTAGGGGGAAAGACCATATTGCCTCTCCCAGTAAGAGTAAATATTAAAATAAAAAGCCTTGATTTAGAATGACACTATCCAATATAAGCTGCTAACCACACAGGACTATTGTATGTAAATCCAAGTAGATAAAAATAAAAAAAATGCCAGGCACCAGTGGCTCACACCTATAATCCTAGCTACTCAGGAGGCTGAGATCTGAGGATAAAGGTTCAAAGCCAGCACTGGGCAGAAAAGCCTGTGAGACTCTTATCTCCAATTAACAATGAAAAAAGCCTGATGTGAAACTGTGGCTCAAGTGACAGAGTAGAAAAGCTCAGGAACAGCACTCAGACCAAGTCCAAGCTCCAGGACTGGCACCAAAAAAAAGAAAAAGTAAAGAAAACAATGCGGGGCTGGGAAGGTGGCTCAGTGGTAGAGCGCTTGCCTTGCATGCATGAGGCCCTGGGTTCGATTCCTCAGCACCACATAAAGCAAAAAGAAAAAAGCCGGAAGTGGCGCTGTGGCTCTAATGGTAGAGCGCTAGCCTTGAGCTGAAGAGCTGAGGGACAGCGCCCAGACCCAGAGTTCAGGCCCCACGACCGGACCCCCCAAAAAAAAAAAAAAGAAAACAATGCCTATAGGCACATGCCTATTTTCCCAGTACTTGGGAGGCCAAGGTAGAGGATTTCAAGCAAGGGCAGCAAGAAAACAATCTAAAAACACACACACACATAGAACAAGGGGCATAGCCCAAGTAATAAACTGTCTAGCAGGCATAAGGCCCTGAGTTCAAACCTGAGTAGCGCCAATCCATCAATCAATCAAGTGAGAAAATAAGAGAATCCACCCCTCAGTTCTGCTGAGTAAGCCCTGAGTGGTACAAACAGAGAATACATATCACCTCAACAAGTCTTATTACTTTTTTTAAATATGTAAGCCAAATCAAGAAACTTGACCTAAGGGTCTATACAAAACAAGTGGAGACAATGGAATATTATGCAGCCATTAGAAAGGACAAAATAATGGCATTTGCAGGGAAATGGATGGAACTAGAAGAAATCATGTTGAACAAGGTAAGCCAAGAGCAAAGAGACAAATGGCACATGGTCTCCCTGATAAGAGGATGTTAAATCCAAAATGTTAGGTGATATGACAAAATTAACAAGACTTGAGAAACAAAGAATTCCCACTCATCTGGTCAAATCCCCTGCTGCTGGATCACACATATGTGCACACCGGAGGGAAACCAGGAGGACGACACAGAACTAGAGGGAATCAGGGAAAAACATACAACAGCGGGACCCATCAGTTGCACTGGACATTGACCAAAATGAACTAAGCAACTCAATGGAAGCGATGGGAGGGAGAGAACAAGTGGGAAAGAGGGAACAGCTGATGCTATGCAAAACAAAAAAAATGTACATACCACCTGATGTGGAAGAAATAACTGTATTGCAAAGCTTATAGAACTCATAAATGTTATAGACTGTGATAGACAACTTGCTCCATGAAAGTTAGAATGTTTTTGTGACTTTAAGCATCACTATTCCACAATACTGTGAAATTGGTAGAATTATGTAATCACTTAACCACAATAAAAAAACTTGAAAAAAAATCTAGTAAAATGTGAACAGCAGACTAAATAAAAAAAGTAAAAAGCTGGGCGCCAGTGG